TGACGGCCCCAGGGCCCGAAAGCGGGCGCGAAACGCCCGGTGCGAAAAAGCACTGCCGCGCCCAGACGGGCCTCGGGGGACGCGAGCGTGTCTGGATGCGTCGGAGCTACGGCCGCTCTCCATGCCAGAGACTGGCGGCGCGGCGCGCAAGTAGGGGGCAGGGGGAGGGGGGAAGGCTTCTTGATAAGAGGAGGCTGCTTCTCAGAAGGGACTAGCCCTACATCTGCAGAGAAGGCCCGCACCTTCGAAGAAGAAGAAGAAGGGGTGCTCCTAAGAAGGCCTCCCCCCGCCCCCTGCCCCCCGTCTGCGCGCGGCCGAACCCAGGAGAGCCCCAAGAGGGGCCTACGTGGGGCAGCACGGGCAGACATTTCGCGCCGTTGCCGCCCAAGGAGGGCCCCAAGAGGACACCCAGAGGCTCCCGAAGCCCCCCCCCCCGACGCCCCCCAGAAGGGCCCAAAGAGGCCCCCCAGAAACCCCCTCCAAGAGTCCCCCGAGAGGCGAGCCCCAAGAGACCCTCACATGCATCCAAAAGCCTCTGAACCACAGCCCAGGCACGGTGGCGGGATGGGCCGAAGGCCATCAGGCCCGCCGCCCCCTGTTGATTCATCACAGGGGTGCCTGGAAAGATTGCCAAGGACCTCAATCCCGAAAAAGATCCTCCAAGATGGTCCAACATGGCCTCCAAGATGGCCACTTTGGCCCAAGATGGTCTCCAAGATGGCCTCCAAGATGGAGTCCACGTCCGCCCAAGATGGTCATTGACGGCCTCCAAGACGGCCCAAGAGAGTCCAAGATACCTCCAAGGTCGCCCGAGAAGCCTCCAAGACAGCCCAACACGACCCAAGAAGCCTCCAAGAGACCCTCCAGAAGGGTCCGAAGAGGCCGAAATCACTGATTTTCCGTACGTTTTTGAAGGATTTGGGCATGTGCTTCTTCTCGGCATTCCGACGGCTCAAGACGGCTCAAGAGGCCCCCAAGATCGCCTAAGAGGCCTCCAAGAGGGCCCCAAGACGACCCAAGAGGCCTCCAAGACGGCCTCCAAGACCGCCCCAAAGCGCCCCAAGAGGGCTCCAAGTCGGCTCAGAGAGGCCCCCAAGACGGCCCCCGACGGCGTCAGACGGGCCAGGAACGCCCTAAGACGGCCAAAGAGGCCCCCGAGAAGCCCCAAAAGAGCCCCAAGAGGCCCCCAAGAGGCCCCAAGAGAGCCCAAGATAGCCCCAACATGGCCTCCAAGACGGTCCCAAGATGGCCCAATCGATCCCAAGAGTGCCTCAAGAGGCTCCGAAGAAACGTTCTCCCCCTTCTCCATTTTCCGCTTTCTCCTCCTCTTCATCTTCCTCCCCCACGTGTTCCCCGAAGGCTTTCCAGATCGGCTCGGGGAACGCATGGTCCGATAGCTTCGCCCCCCAAGATGCCTCCAAGACGGCCCAAGATGCCTCCAAGACGGCCTAACATGGCGTCAATATTGCCCAAGACCGCCCAAGAGGCCCCCAAGAGGCCTCCAAGACGGCCCAAGAGGCGTCCAAGAGACCCTCCAGAAGGGTCCGAAAAGGCCAAAATCATTCATTGTCCCTAAGTGTTTCAAGGATGTTGGCAATTGTTTCTTCTCGCCATTCCGACGGCTCAAAACGGCCCAAGAGGCCTCTTCCTCTTCCTCTTCCTGTTCATTCTCCCCCACGTGTTCCCGAAAGCTTTCCAAACCGATTCGGGGAACACATGGTCCGATAGCTTGGCAGGCCTCTAGCCACAACGTTCGGCCACACAGGCACTTGCGAAAGAGCAGGAGGCGGCGGTGATTCGCCGTAGGCGTCTTCGATAGGCCGCTATCCCTTGAGATCCTAGCGTCTCTACTTGTTCGAGCAGTCTCGGGTCCTGGGACCTCACAGATCGATCCGCCTCGAAGAATCGCGCACGAGAAATGGGTCTGGGGCTCTGGTCGTGATTTCGCGCGATGTTGCAATTTGTTCGAGACGCCGGACGTCAGGGAAGAAGAGCTAGGTCGGATTAGGGCCAAGATTTAGCTGGACAAAACCAGATTCAGCGGGACTCGACACGACTAAGCGGGACTATGCCAGATTAGGCCCGTTTTCGACCATGGATATACCAGCGCCGACGCTAAATATGACCTGCCTGGAGTTGCATCCTAAGCCAGGTGAGCAGCGCAACGAAACAGGTCTTACGAGGGAGGACATAGCGAACTTACGCCGCGACTTACGCGGGCCGCCAGCGTGGCACACCGCGTGGAGAGGAGAACGCTCACGCGCGGCCTTGCGCGGGAAGCCTACGCGCGAATGTCGGTGCCGTCGCTCAGGGGACGGCCTCGAGCCTGTCACTGGGACAGCCCGCTTTCTCAAGCGCTCCGGGTGAGCTTTCGGCGATCTCGCCGCTTCGCCAGACTGGCCTGCGTTTGAATGCCCCTCCGCTGGGGGGGGCGCGCGTGGCCCTCTCTCTCTCTCTCTCTCTCTCTCTTCGGCTGCGCCCACAACCGAGGTTCGAAAAGTTCGGACGTGTTGCTCGGTTCTCGGCGATTTCCTGGCCTCGAAGACGATTCGCCCTCTATCCGAGCGGCTCTCGGAAGGGTTGAAGGCAAATGTGCGCGGCGCCGCGGCGAGAGCACCCTCTCGGAAACGATTCGCCCCGCATCCGACTGCCTGCTGGAAAAGGCGGACCTCAAAACGGTGTACAATCTGCAAGGAACTATCTGGCGAAACGCCCAGCCCACCCTGACGATACGTTTGGTGCTGCGGCGGGGAGGACACGGTCTGGAAAGGACAAGGACGGAGTAAGGGGAGGAGGAAGAGAGGGGGGGCGGAGAATGCCGGGGAGGGCGCGACGACCACCACACCACCACGACTCCGACGACGGGCGACGACGACGACAACAATGACGAAGACGAAGACGACGACGACGACGACGACGACGACGACGACGACGACGACGACGACAATGACGACGACGACGAAGACGACGACGAAGATGACGACGACGAGTGGTTCCGAACCCGCCGCAGACTACCTGAGGACCCGTTTTCTCCAGCACACTCCTCCTTATTTCGGGGGGGTCGCAAAGGTGGGGTAGGGGCAAGAGGTGGGGCTCGAGGAACAAGATTCTAAACGGCCTAGCTTCTGGAGCACTGGAACGTGAGCATCCAGCTGGGTTCGTTCTCCAACCCCACCTCCTGGCTGCACGCAAAAGTGGCCTCTGACGCACGGCCCGCCTGTCGCTGACGCGCGGCGCGACAACCGCGACCTGCGTGCTGGCGTTTGGCCTCCCGCCCCCAGGAAAGCCGTGCACCAAAGGTCACTCTGGCGAAGGGTCGCTCGGCTCTTAGGTCATAACTGCACGGTTTCCCCCGGGGCCGTAGGCGATCCGAGGAGGAGGAAGAGGAGGAGGAGAAGGAGGTGGAGGAGGGGAAGGGGGAGGAGGAGATGGAGGAGGAGGAGGAGGGAGGAGGGGATGAGGAGGAGGAGGAGGAGGAGGAGGAGGAGGAGGAGGAGGAGGAGGAGGAGGAGGAGGAGGAGGAGGGAGGAGGAGGAGGAGGAGGAGGAGGAGGAGGAGGAGGAGGAGGACGGGTCGCCTAAGCCCTTCGGAGCAACCCTCCAGTCATAACTCGGTTCTCCTGCGGCCATTCGGGACGATCTGGGCCCCGAGGAACGCTTTCGGCGAGGCGCGGCCGCTGGAAGAAAACCTGCAGGAAGCGGCGGGAGCGTCCGAAAACGCTCATTCACACACACACACACGAGAAGGACACTCTGGCGAATGGCCTCTCTGACGCAGAGAGTTCTGGAAAACCCGAACCTCAAAAAACTGCCACCTCTTGGGGGGCGCATCTTTCACTTCCGACGGCTTCCGCCAGCTGAGTCGCCCCCGTTTTGCTTCTGCCGCCTTTCGCTGAGGAAGAGATGTCAACTCCTTCGACCGTCGAAGGCAAGACCCTCTCTGGAACGCGCAACATGCAGCTGAACCCTGGGATAAACCCCCTCTGTTTCACCCCCAGTTCTCTTGTGGGCAGGGACCGACCGTCCCCCTTCATGTGTGCCTACCACGAGATGCTCGGACTACAAGAGAATGCCCGAGGTGCATAATAAAACAAGATTTACTCTCAATCCGTAAGACTGGTGGATTGAGACAAGCTTGTCTCAGCCGGAAAGTTGACCATAACATCTTATACAACCACAGTGATCACATCCTTGCTTCGTTCTGGTTGGCCCGACGGAGCCATCATAAAAATGACGCGACCCAGTCTGAAATTTGACGCGGGCTCCCGCTGCAGACGTCCCACGAAAACTGGACCGTCAAAATCAGGGACGCGCTCGTCAAAAAGCGCCCGCAGACCCGAGTTCCGGTTTACTCGAGTCTTACGTTTCCTCGATTCGTGGGCATAGGTATGAGAGGCCTCCTAAATGGGGTTCGACTAGTGACTAGATGGGATCGAAGGATCGCGCCGCATCGGCAGTGCATCGCCGATGCATCGGCAATGCATCGGCGACGCCAGCAGTGCATCGGCGACGCCGGCGCGGAGAAGATCGGACTCCACATCGAGCGGCATCGGCAATGCATCGGCGATGCGGCTCGATCCTCCGACTTGGCGGCGAGCAGAAGGGGGGGGATGGAGTGGGGAGGGCTTCTTAGACGGAGGCGACTTCTTAGAAGGCGCCAGCCTTACATCTATAGATAGGGCCCGCGCCTTCGAAAAAGCAGGGGTGCTTCTAAGAAGCCCTTCCCCGTCCCCCCACCCCCCTCTGCGCGTGGCTAACCGACCCCCTCTACTCCGACCCCATCTAGGAGGCCTAGAATGCTTAGTGCAACCCAATCTGGGGGAGGAGGAGGAGGAGGAGGAGGAGGAGGAGGAGGAGGAGGAGGAGGACGACGAGGAGGAGGAGGAGGAGGAGGAGGAGGAGGGAGGAGGAGGAGGCGGACGAGGAGGGAGAGGAGAAGGAAGAGGGAGGAGGTAGGGGGCATAGAGGTGTGGACTTGCGGCGCCGCCGGCGGCGAGGAGCCTCAGCGGCACGGGCGGCACGCGCAGCGCGGGCGGCCGCGCAGCAGCTGCGGCGGCCGCCGCGGCCGGACGCGCTGCCAACGACGCGCTGTCGAGGCCCACGCGGCAGGCCACCTGCGGCCGTCGTCGTCGTCGGCAGCGTCGTCGGCGTCGGCATCGTCGGCGTCGGCATCGTCGGCGTCGGTATCGTCGTCAGCGCCGTCGTCGGCGGAGTCGCGACCGCCCCTCCTACTACTCCTCCTCCTCCTCCTCGTCCTCCTCCTCCTCCTCCTCCTCCTCCTCCTCCTCCTCCTCCTCCAGCCGTTCTGGCACAAGGTTTTGTGCTTGTTGGCGCCAACATCAAAGCGGCACTGCGTCAACGGGCCTTTGGCTCGGCGTAGGTTTTCTCTCAGTGATTGCGGGCGTATGACACCCAAGTTTCCCACTCAGCGTCATGGCGGTGGCAAGGGACAGGATCGAGGACAAGGTTTTGGCCGTGAAGATCGAACCCGAGTATCACCTCCTTGGCACCGTCCTGGCGCATATTCATATACCTCATGGTGGCACGATGCCACTGAATCAGGCAGCGACGGCTACTCGAAGATCAAGTGCATCACCTGTGGCTGCGCGAAGAACCAGAAGTCGTCTCGGTATTGCAAGCACTGTGGCGCCCCGCTGGCTGCTACTCGCCCTGCTGACGGGAATCATCCAGCCAGTGGTGCTTGGGCCCAAGTCCCGCCTGGGGTCTTCAGCCCGCCGCCGCCCTGGATCATCCAGTCGCAGCAGCCCCACGGGCAACACGCCACCCCACCTGGACAAGGTGCTGCAGCCCAACCAAGTGGTGGCGGCACCCATGGTGGCCCAGGGGTCCCCGAGGCAGCTGCCCTTCCCAGTCGGTGCCCAGAGTCAGCTCACGGCCACTGAGGCTAAGCAGTTGGCTGAAATGGCTGGGACGGGGGAAGATCTGGTCACTGCGGCCAAGTACCAATCCGAGGTCAAGAGACTGCATGCTCAAGAAGCACCCAAACGACCCATTCCACTGCATCAGCGAGTCCAGCAGCAGTTCGCAATCGTCTCGCGGATGGAGAAGGCTCTGGACAAGGAGGTCGACAAGCTGTTGGCGTGGCGGAAGGATGTCATACAGCTTGATGCAAATGCGAGCCGAACTCGACCAGGCTGACACAACGACAAACCCCTCGACTCGGAGTTACAGCAGCAGGCTGCCGTCGGCCAAGTTCCAGGCGCTGGTCCAGCCAAACTCAAGCTCGAGGACATTTGCAACGAGTCCTTCGATCTCGCCACGGTGCTCACCCTCGACGAGGTCTATTTCTTTGACGGCGACGAGGAGCTGGGCCAGGAGGACCGCGACGAGATCACCAAGCGGAAGGATGACGTCAACGCGGGTGTGTCCAAGCTGGCAAAGGAGTTGCCGGGGCCACTGGTCTGTTGCCAAGCAAGCCCGCGATGCGCATCGAGAGCACCTCACTCGCTTGGCGGCCAAGAAAAGGCGAACCACCGACGGCATGGTTGCTGTGCACCTGAAGGCGCACGCGCTGATGGCCCAGTTCCTGCTGAGCCCACATCAGCGGGCAGCGACGACAAGCCAGAGGCACCAGCGCAGGCGACAGCGGGAGGTGGAGCCTTCCACTAGGCAACCGATGTGCGGACCAAGGCAGAAAAAGCCCTTCAACCTCCCCCCCTGCCCCTGGCGGGGTGGGGTGGGGGGGAATTGCACCATTGCCCGGCCGCACATCCGCCCGCGCATGTCCCTGTCAGCAGCAGCGCCCATCACTTGGGCGCCCCAGCAGGAGGCCAGCTTGGCCCCGATACCACTTTGGGAGCGCACGCTTAATTTTCTCGGTCTTTGCCTCCAGCAGGCCAACTGCGCCCCCATGAAATCCGCGGAACATGTAAGAGCCCTGGAGAACCTGGGCGGCAGCCCCCACCAGTTGCTGAAGACGAGCTCGGAATCTATGGACTCGGGACGCCGCACCTGCTAGGCGCGAACACCCCCCACGACAGAGCTGGAAGCTCTCTCGTGGAGGAGCAGGCTGGAGCCTGCCCAGACTATTTTTTGCGCGGGCTATTGAGCGCACCCAGGCCAAAGCAGCGTTTGCCCTGGGGAACCTGTCCGATCCCGAGTCTGCGAAGGCCTGGAGTGGCCATGGCCCTGGGGCCCGTTCGCTCCCCCTGGATTTCTTAGGGCCCCGAGGACCTAAATCGTCTGAGCTAGGCGTGACAGGCAGCGGTGACGCGTCAGCCCACGCCTCGCGGTTTCCCCCTTTCCACTCCCCGGAACCCTGCCCTGGAGATTCCCAAATGGAACTCATAGTTCAGACTGTCAACGCTACTGCATGGCACTCGGACACGGGTGGAGGTCTCAAGGCTTGGCTGCCAAAATGCGAAGCGCACATCCTTCTCATCCAGGAACACCACCTGTTGAAGCCTGATCTGGAAGAAGCTATAGGCTGGGCCCATCGGCATGGGTGGAAAGCTATTTTTGGGCCCGCAGCTCCTGGAATCGGTGATGGCACGTCTTCTGGCGTCGGGATCCCGGCCCGAAACTCTCTCGGCTGCCATGCTCCCCCAGGAGGGCGCACCATTGACCCGCACCGTTCTATTGGCGCTATTGTGCATGCTCCAGGTGGGGACCCCGCGTTTGCGCGCAGCACCTACCTGCGCTCGCGCGAAGGGCTGTCAGAGGCCAACGCGGAGCTCCTGGCCCTCATCGGTACGGTTGTGGAGCAGCTTGCTCTACCCACGCATGTTGGTGCTGACTTTAATGAGAGCCCTGACGTGCTTGCTGCATCAGGTATTGTTAACCGTTTGCGTGCTCAGATCGTCGTTCCCAGCAGCGTGATCGGCACGCGCGGTACCAGCATGATCGATTACTTCGTCGTCTCCCCGGGGCTCGATAAAGCCATCTCCCAAGTCGAAGCGATTCATACATCGAACATCGTCATCCACCTGCCAGTGCAGCTCAGGCTTCATGCTGGCATCGGGCGTCTCCACGACCTTGTTTTTTCATCAGCCGCCACCACTGCCGACGGAGATGCCGATCGGCCCCGTGCCGCCCCCGCCTGCGTGGGCAGCGGCGCAAGCCGAAGCTGACCGAGTCCTCGAAGCTGGTCGAAGCGGCGACGATCATGCTGCACAGTGCATGCCCGACGCCCACAATAAGCATTGGGCCGACTTTGCCGAGAAGGAGCTAGCGGGGACTCGTTCAACCACCCTCCCGCGTGGGGGAAGCAAGGGGAAAATGCCTCAGCAGAGGTGGGCGAATATCCTGGACCAAGATAGACAGGCCCCCCCCACAGACAACCCCAGCTCTTCTCCCTTAAGTGGTCGGTCGGCAAATGTAGGCTTCTCCTTCAGCTCGACGCGATTGGCACAGGGACCGCCCAGGCGCGGGAGGTGCGGAGACTGCTCGTGTCCCCGCCAACCTTTCTGAAGCAAGGGCTGGATTCCCACGCTGATTGTTTTCTAAGAGCGCAGCAGTTCTTAGGTCAGCATGACCTGCTCGATCTTCAGGCCGAGGAAGCCACACTCACAAACTTGGACGAGCATCTGGCGACCGTTGCCGCCAAGGCCAAGTCGCATTCACTTGCGGAGAGGAGGGAATGGCTGCCCTAATCCATCGATCAGGGAGCGCGGAGGGCTCACCAGCATGTGCGAGACAGTCAACCATGGACCCCCACCACTACTCTGAGTCGGGATGGAGCCGCCATATCTGACCCCCCGGCCTTGCTTGCGGCCGAGGCTAATAAAGTCAGCAAGTTGTGGGAAGCCTCGAACACTCCGCCCCAATTGGGCCCCAAGTTTCAGTTTGTGGATCCCCTCCCCAGGCCCACTGCCGATGTGCGCTCGGCTTCCAGGCGTTACTCGTCTATGTCTGCCACGGCAGTTGACGGCTTCCACATGAAGCATTATGCCTCTCTGTCGGACGGGGCCCTCGATGTCCCGGGGCCCATGTTTTCGGCCATGGAGGCTTCTGGGCTTTACCCTGGGCAGGTTTCCCTGGCGGTCCTTCTCCTGTTTAACAAACCTTCTGGCGGCTTCAGGCCCCTCGGCCTTTTCTGCAGTCCCATATCGCCTCTGGGGGCGATGCCGACGGAGGTTTGCCGTCCAATGGGAAAGTGACTTCCAGCGGAGTTATTTCTCGGGTTCCCAGTTTTCGCCCGCCGTCGACGCGGCTCGGAGGCAATCTTTACGCGCTGAAGGAGATGCGTCCAGGAAAGAAGCCAAGTGTACGCTGTTTTGAAACCTTTACAAGTGTTTTGAGCTCGTCAACCTCTCGACCGTCTTCCAGCGCTGCCACCAGATTCATCCACCCGTGCAGCTGGCAAGGCTGGCAAAGCAAGGGCATCGGCACGGCGGGTATATTTCGCTCTCGGGAACGGTGGCCGGGGCCTTTTCGTCAAAAAACGCCTTCGTTGCTGGTTGTGGCTTCGCGACCACCATGGTGCGCATCAACGCTGTGCCAGCGCTCAATGCCCTGCAGCTACCGCCAGGCATCACGCTCGACGTTTACATCGATGACTACGGTCTCAGCTGCGTCGGGACATGCGCCGACATTGTCAGCCATTTCCAAGGGCAGCAGCGAACCTCAGGGCCGCCATCGAGGATGACATGGGTAGTGTAATCTCGGTTGATAAAGCTGCCCTCGTTACCTCGTCGGATGCGCTTGCCAATATTGTCAGAGATCGCTTGGGAGGCCTTGCTGGGCCCGTGGTTCCCTCTGCCGTGAACCTCGGGATTGCTTTTGCCCCTGGTTTCCCCCGTCGCGCCCCCGGTCGCGGCCGGAAGTTTGGCGGCCGCAAGCGCGCGTTCAACAAGAAAGCTCCAAGGACTCAACAGGGCCAAGAAGCCTCTTGGGAGGCATGCGTCCAAGGTCTTGACCGCTGGCCATCTCCCCAGTCTCACCTTTGGAGCCGAAGTGCAAGGGCTTTCCAACTACGAGCGGCAAAGGCTTCAGGTCGCTGCTGCCAGTACGACGCAGCCCTCTGCCAAGATGAGGTCGGGGACCTCTCTGCTCCTTCTCTCTCAGGACCCCACCTGGTACCATGCCGCGGCGCCTATCGCGCGCTACGCCAAAGAAGTCTGGGCGAAACAAACCAAGCTGCCCCCCTTTGTTA